GATCATTTTCTTACAAGATAATATATATATATATATATATATATATATACACACACACACATACATGTATATACGCATGCTTATCGTCAAATTTATTAATATCTATATATTATATCAGAGTGCCTGTGGTAAAAGTCGTGAATCGTAGTCCAACTTCATTGCAACATTTTATTGGTGATTTTTTAGTGTCGTTTCTCTCTTCCTCGCTTTCGGTACGCACTCGTTATGAACCTTAAATATTATTTTAAGTTTAAGTGTCTGAGTTTACGCTGACATTCAAGGGCCCTAAGAGGATACGTGATACGTCTTCAGCCCTCTTTTTTTTTGTTGTTCTTGTTCAAACGACTGACCTGTGCAGTTGTTAATATGCTATTATATTTGATCTAAATACTTTACCCTCCATTCTGTTTCATACGGATCAGCTCTTTAAAAGAGTAACTGTTTTTGCGAATTTCGGTTACGTATCGCATACCTGATCTTTCTGTCTATATAACTCCGGTAAATTCTGTACGAATTTCGCAAGTCCGTCCGTACACCGAGTAGTTTCAATCCACGGTTGGTTGCTGTGCTACAGACGCGCCGCCCTGCATGGGTGTCGCAGTGGCACGCGCCACGCGGAGGCATTTTCTTGTCCCTTTTTCCCCCGTACCTTTCTTTCCATGTATACTGGTCTGCCTGCTTGTCGCCGTGGTTATTAAAGAAGCGTTCTATCATGAGGCAAGCGACCCCATGAAATCAACTGGGAGAACCCTGCATTCAACATAGGCAGCGATGTGTTGGGGTGGGGTGGGGTGCCCTTTGGATAGCAGGGTCTGGGGGTATTACCTGGGGTTTGGGGGGGATCTTTGTTATTATGCTACATTCCTTTTCGTCATACGAAGTATACAGATAAGTAGACATTAAGTTTGAAGCGTTAAGAGCAGATGTAATGCGCAGAGAGCTAAGTGATAAAAAAAAAAAACTGTTAGTGATCGGCGATCTGGGTCCTGCTTTCTGCTTCAACTTTAAGTACTACTGCTGTGGTTGAAACTCGTGACGTAGTCGTCTCCAGTGCTGTGGAAGTGCAGGTAGTTGCTGTGAGGGGCCATATAGGGTATGATATTTCATTGCTTGCCTGTCTTATACTTAGTTTTACTCTACTGGTGTGGTAGTGAATAGAATGCGCGTAGTAACAGCAATGGTGACGTTAGTTTCATCTCTGGAGGGTGGCCGCTTGTTCACTTCAGAAATCATTCTATAAACACATACGTATAACATCTCTCTCTGTTTTGGAAGCAATTGTAATCACGAGCTTGGTACTCGCAAAGTATGTGATACTGAATAACTGGAGTATATGTGTGTGTGTGTTTATGTAGAAATCTGCAGTGTTCTATTGTATATTGATATTTCAAATTAACTTGCATTTTAACTAGTGACCAAGATTGTTTGAAGGTTTATCACAGAATATGGAATCTGTAAGTGTGAAAAGGCAGCCAAGAAAGTGAATGCTTAATAACTGGTGAGTGGACTTGTTGGTTATATGTAATTAATCAGCAGAGAGAGAGAGAGCATTGTATAGTTCCGTGAGCTTAATTAATCTAGCGGTATGAATGGGTTTTTCTAATTAAAACACTCAATAGGAGTGAATACTGTACATACAGGATCAGTAAAAAAAAAGGCTGGATGGTTAGATATAGTGGATTAATAAAGAGGATTGAGTACCAATGTTTTGAAGTTGAATCAAGACATTTGAATGGTTAAATGGACAGGAATCAATAGGAATGATCAGTTGGAAGTACAAGGTTAGTCAAAAGCATCAAGCAGCTAGAAATACAGTTTGTAGCTAATCAAAACAACTTGTTTATGAATACAAGGTCAAAAGCATCAAGTGGTCAGAAATGCATAATCTAATCAAGGACGTCAACCATTTAGAAGTACAGGGTCAGTCAAGACCAGTAAGTGGTTAGAAGTACATAAGTAATTAGGAACATCATTGGTTAGAAGTAGGTTAACTAGTAGTTGGCTCAGAGTTAATGAAGAGTGCAGACTAGGAAGAAGTATAGGGTCAGTTAAGGTCAGGTGATTAAAAATAAGGGTCAATCAAGTTGATCAACTGTACAGAAGTAGAATCAACTGATTCCAAGTAAAAAGCCAATCAACAGAATCTAGATGTCAAAAGTAAAGTTCAGTCAAGAGGTTGGATATTTAGATGGAGATGGTCTGGATCAACTCACTTTTATAAGTATGGTCAATCATGGGGTGGGGGCTTAAGTGACTCAGTTTATTAATTTAAAGGGTATTGAATGGCTCAAAATAAAAATGAGGTTGAGTGTGTCAGTGTACAGGGTTAGCCAAGAGATTGAGTGCTTTGATGTACACAGTTGAATCAAACTTCATTGTCTAGATGTATGATGTGTTTGAAAATTTAAATGTACAGAATCAGTTAGGAAATTCAACAGTTTAGGTACTGAATCAATCAAAAGGTTTGAGTGTTTCTTCATACAGGGCTACTCCATAAAAATGGATGGTTCAATAACCATTAAGGGATTCAGTAGTTTAGGTACTGAATCAATCAACAGGGTTGACTGTTTCTCTGTATAGGATTACTCCATAAAAATGAATGGTTCACCAACCATTAAGGGATTCAGTAGTTTAGGTACTGAATCAATCAAGAGGTTTGAGTGTTTCTTCATACAGGACTACTCCATAAAAATGGATGGTTCAACAACCATTAAGGGATTCAGTAGTTTAGGTACTGAATCAATCAAGAGGTTTGAGTGTTTCTTTGTACAGGGTTACTCCATAAAAATGAATGGTTCAACCACCATTAAGGGATTCAGTAGTTTGATACAAAATTTCAATACATAGATTAGTCAGGGTTTGAGTGGTTTACAGTAAGTTATTGATCAGGTGCTCTAAAATATCAGTCAGAGCAAGCTCACACTGCTTTACATTTTATCGAAATGATGCAGACAATTTGTGTAAATGTTGTTGCTTGAGATGTTTCTTCTTTTCCCAATTTAAATTTAAGTTAGACTGAGGTTTATTTGTTTTAAATTTAATACTTTATGCAAGTAAGTTTACTTTTTTTTGCTTTCTAAATGTATTGTTAGAATAAAGAACATTCAAAAAGTAAATTTTTTGATCTAATAATAATTATAAATATGTTTTATGTACAATGAAAACAGCTAATCATGTATAAACTAGACAAGAGACTGGTATTTGTGTTTTGCTTTTTGCCTGGTTTGAATGTAATCAAAAGATTTTTTCAAGAAGAACAGAGGATAATTTAAAATGTTTTACATCCAGCTAGTTTTTTTTTTTTTCCTTTTTCTTTTAGTTATTTATTTTGTATGGCAACTTGGTTATCAAAATGATTGAAAAAAATAGAGCAACTAATTATAATTAATTACTAGGGTGGAAAACTCGTGCTTCCTTTATGAAACATTTTTCAGTTGTGGTATTTTATATTTGAATGCACAAAGTTGATAAAATGTAAAGGCAGTACTGTGTGTTTAAAGTAATTAAAACAGTTAAGTGACCTGCCTAGACTACTAATGTATGAGGCTAGATAGGTAAAGTACTGAACAAATCTTATGGCCACATGAGGCATTTCAATGACTGTGAGGTTAAACCTATTCCACAACATGTGATCAAAAAGGACAAACTGATTGACGTATTTGGGAAGAGACACCAGATCTAGTGACCTTTCAAAACATAAAATATTGGTATTGGGGGCAAGTATTAAAACTCAATAGGGTGATGGTATTGGTACTCTAAGTGTCCATAAAGAAGTTCACACATAAAACCTTAACACACAAACACTGCAGTCTGAAATGGGACTCCAAGGGATGACAGATTCATTACTCAAATACTTATCCTGCAATGGATAGTAATATTTATACCCACCCCTCCCTTATACATATAGTGATGTTTTTCATAATTCCATACTCCTAATTTCATTTTTTCATGGTTTAAAGAAGTTTAAAAACATTCCCACATACAAATGTTGATTTCGTCCATACTTTCTTACTCATAATTTTGTTTTTGCATAGTTTAATGAAGTTTAAAAACACTTCATATGCACGTGTACATTACTATTTAAATTATATAAATACTTGTCATAAGACGTTAGTATTAGGCCTATTATATTTTTAGCACTACATTCTTTACTCAGTCCTTTAGGGTTTTTCAAGAAGAACAAGAGAATATAATAGTATTTCAACCATGCTACGTCTGCTGTATCCATTGCTCATGGCATGTTTTGCTTAATGCAGAGCTCATTGGGTCAGCTGGGACGACAAACACAGTAGTGGTTTTTTGCTTAAAGCAGAGCTCATTGGGTCAACTGGGATGACAAACACAGTAGTTGTTGGAATACCATTTATATAAGATATTTGTTACAATAACAAAATAACAACTGTTATAGTGTAAATGCCTCATCTAAGCTGTTAAAGCATGATCATGCTTTGCCAGCTTAAGAAAAGCATTCACTCCAGATCAACTAATTATTATAGTGTAAATGCCTCATCTAAGCTGTTGAAGCATGATCATGCTTTGCCAGCTTAAGAAAAGCATTCACTCCAGATCAACTAATTATTATAGTGTAAATGCCTCATCTAAGCTGTTGAAGCATGATCATGCTTTGCCAGCTTAAGAAAAGCATTCACTCCAGATCAACTAATTAGTGTCAAGAAAGTATTTGCATGTTGATTTGTCCACAATTTTGATCATAATTTTATTTTGTCAAACAGGAACTCGGTGATATGATGGATAACTTACACAGTTTAGACCCCCGGAAACAGGAACTTTTGGAGGCCAGATTTTTCGGAGGAAGGGTAAAATGAAATTATGTTGTTATGTTAAAATAAGTGGTGTGAGGTAATATTAAAAGTAAAAGTATATATCTCTATTATTTACTATTGACTTTCTTCAGTCAAGTAAAAACATGACTGGCAACTGAAATCCTTGAAAAACTCATTTTGTTAAGAGGTGTTTAATTTGATTAAGTTTAATTCTTTCATTCTTAAGAGTTCCTCTTGGGCATGTAAAATTTTCAAAGGGCCCAGCTGGTTATGAAAGGCTTATGTTTCACAGTATGCATTCAGGAAACAGCACAGTTTTTGATATTACTCATAAACTATAAATTTATTTATGGAAATGTAAATAATTTTTTTATTAATTTTCTTGTTGAAACAGATGACTTGTTGCACTGTTTTTGTAAACATTTTTGGATGTTACTGTGTATTTGTGAGACTTATCCTTGTGTCATGAGTTGTAAAAAAATATTGCTAGTTTTTAAAATAAAACCATTTTGCATTTCATTTTAGTAGAAATTATAGAATCACAAGATGGCACTATCAAAGAAGCAGTCCATAAAGATATAAGGATTATATAGGAAAGTGAAGAATTGCCTTAAGAGAACACTAAATAGTCTTACAATTTTATCATGTCAAGATAAAAGGTTTTATTCACAGTGAAAAAGTCATGGAAATTAAGATGACGAGATCATTATTTAGAATAAAAGAAAAGAGATTTTTCCAAGACTTCACTCATTTTGCAGTTGTGAAAAGTATAAGATGTCCCAGATGTCTGGGCCCATATGGAAAAATACCCAACATATTCTTAATTTATTTATTATTAAAATTGGATGCCATTAACAGCCATACACATATCAATTCTTGGTAAACTATGCCATCAGGGTTTTGTTTCTTCCTGAAATATGTACAGCTTACATTATAAATGTGTTTGTTTAACTTTAAGAATAGAATGTCTATTTTCCCTTTGGGTCCAGACTTCTGGTACACCCTGTATATCAGTTGGAGAAAGCTTTTACAAAAGAATATGTTTGGTGATACATAGAAATTGCTTGTTAAGTTGGATGAAAAACGATTACTCTAAATTGATATTTCATACATTTTAAACAATATTTTAATGTTAAAACTCGATTGAAAGCTCTAGTTCAAGTTGAGATGTTTACAACTTCCAACTATCACTTTCAAGTGCCTGTCCATATTTATATACCACAGTAAAGCCATCTCCATAGGATTTCTTAATACAAAGCAGCAAGTAAGGGTTCATATACTTATGCATGGAGCTGCTATTCCATGTCACAATGGGTTAGTTTAAAAATATTTTTTTAGATGGTTTCAGCACACACAACTGGGTTATTCTAGGCTTATACTTTGCTACCGTGGTATTATTAATATTCATTGGGCTTTACAACTACAAAATGGCAGTATGTAAGAAGTATACAGTATCTCAACTGACAGAATAGCTAAAGAAATGAGGAGCAAAATTAAGTATATGAAAAAATGAACTTTTTAAGTCTGTAGGATTAATTTATGTTTTTCTACAAAGCAAGACAGATCATGGTAGATTAGATATTGTGAACCATGTATGATACTGTATTAAGTGATTTAACAATGTTATTTGAAAACTGCCAAATTACATACTACAAGCTGAGGTACCCGTTCTTTGTCTGGGTTATGAACTTAAAAAGAAATGTGTTGGTTGATGCTATGGTAAAGAACACAAAATCTTAGCTTTCACACATTTTATTTATAACATAACATATTATTACAGTATTCATTATTGCCTCACCAAAAGTTTTGTATAACTCAATATTTATATATTTGAAACATGGTATAGACTGTGCATTGGTCAGGGGGGGTGACTTTGTAGGAACTAGTGGCAGTATAGGTGCTTTTTGTTACCTGCTTTCAACGTGTACCTCCTAATGTACTTCTGCAGTGTTTCACGTGATTAACTAATTGACAGTCATTTGCCACAGAAGTGTCTTAAGGGTTGAAGGTGAAAGGTCATGGGTCAAAATAGGAAGTGGGTATAACTCAAGAAATGGCTTTTCATATCAACATTATGGTGGCTGTTGGAGTAGAAACTTCAGCTGAGTTTATGTGTTATTGCAATAGTGGTGGCCATATTTTCATTGCATTCCACTGTAGAGAGTGCTAGTGCACTCCCTGAGATATGTAAGACATTTGTGACTTAATTTTTTGAAGTGGAATCATTATTATAAATATGATTAAAATACTTGAAAATTAATCTATTTGTTGGATCTGTTGAAGAATAGTTATACATCAGTAGACTGGTATACTCATCAAAGGGAATCATCTATAGAGAAAGTATGTCAGTAGACTTGTTGTTAATTAGAAATTGAACAGGTAAATTTGTGAACATTTTTACATTTATTCTGTCCCATGTACACGAATAGTAATAATACTAATATTAGTGTAATACTTTATTTAGAAAATATTACACCAATATTAGTTCCAAATATAGAATAATGTGTTTTTTTTTTTTCAAAATGTGCAATATGTATGATTTAAAGTAGGGTATAATTCTGTTAGTTAGATTTAAATTGACACTGTAGAGAACCTTACAGATATTTATTTTATGAAGTTGATGAAGAACTAACTTTTTCTGGGCCCTTGTACCCTAGGGATTCACCTTTTCCCAGCTGTCTCTAGATCAGCAGCAGAGGCTAGTCCAAGCTTGTGGCTTCTCAGCAATCCAGAATTCCAACCACTCGCAGGGTTTCAGTGGCTCTCACCCATCACAAGGTGGTAGTGGCAACTCTTCTCAGGCTCAAAATGACAGCTCCAACCTCAGTGCAGCAAGTGGTTCTAGTGATAAAGATATAGATGTAAGAATTAAATCAGTGTTTTTTGAATATATTTGTTACAAAATGATTATAACTTGTATAAAATAGGAAGAAATAGCTCAGGCCACCATACCAAACAAATTGTGTTTGTCTGTTTTTATGAATTTTTTTTCAGTAAAAAACTTAAAAATAATATGCTTATGCTATTTTTTTTTATTTCATCGTTTGTTAATATTCATCATATTTTGAATTAAGTCACCTATTATATTTGTAAATATTGCATGGTCAACTCCAGATAAAAGCAACTTATTTTTCTTATTAAAAGCAGCAGTTGCTGTTGGAATAGTTTTTTTGGATTCCAGATTTGTCAATATGACATAACACATTCTATTTTACTCGCATTTAATACACGCAAGAGACAGTTTTATTTAGAGAGGATACAGTATTTGTGATATGTTTATATTGGCTTTAGTGGGTTTGAAATGTCTATGTACAAATGTTATGCTGTTTACATGCATTATGAAATGCCACACACTGCACATAAAGCTAGAAAACAGCTACCAGAATTTCATAAAAATATGAGTTATATGAAATGAAGTAATTAACAATTAGAGGCACCACTAAATGTAATTGTCAAAAAACATCTTTGACTCCAGCTCTGAATGAAAAAGTAAATAAATATAATAGTGATAGTTGTATTATGATAAATAGTTGATTGAGAAGATTAGAAGTTAACAAAGAAATAACAGGAAAGGGAACAAGCTGAAAAGAGATTGTTTAGTAGAGTAGATTTTGAATATAGCAGAAAAAGAAAATATGGTCATAGAATTTTGTAGTTATTTAGAAGAATTTGATATTGGACATGTAAACGTGCAATGTATGAAAAGAAAGAAGGAAGTAGGAGGGACAATAATAGAAGTGAGGAAAGGTACAAATATATCAGTGGTAGCAAAAGAGAAACATAAAGCAAAGTTTGTACATAGTAGATTGTGGAAGTAGAATAAAGAAACACTTATGGAAACAGTAGTTTTTAATAACACAGATGCAGAGGAATCATTAAAAGACAATAATGGAAGAGCAACCAGGAGAGGAATAGGAAGTAAACCTGTGAATAATAACAGGAGACTTTAATTTGATGGAAAGAGGGGAAGAAGTGTATTATGAGAGGGAAAAGGCAGAATAAAAAAGTTTATAACACACAAGGGAAAAAAAACTTAGAATGCATGAATAAAATGGGTTAGGTATCTTTAATTGGAGTAAAACTGTAGATGAAGGTAGTGAACTGATGTATTGAGGAAGTAGAAGAAATTCAGTGGTTGATTATGCACTTGTAAATCTAGAAGCAAATAGATGGGTAGTATACATGAATTACCAGCATTTGTGTAATATTTAAAATTATAATAAATAATTAAATCGTATTTACACAATTTAAAACTTTGTTCAAGCTGTACGGCTTCCACTTTAAAATGAAACTCTACATGTACAAGTTTTGATGTGATGTAGGGTATCATTTTAAAGTGGAACCCATATGGCTTCAGTAAAGTTTAAAACTGTGTAAATAGGAAACGTTCTTTTTAATTATTTATTATAATTTTAGGTGGGTAATATCTTTCAAAATACAGGAGAGAGTGGAATCTGTCCATTATCTGATGAAGAGAAAAGTGTAATGGTAAAAGAAGGTTTATTCATGTGAAAAAGATGTTAAAATCTATAAACAAAGATTGAAAGTAAATAAAATACAAGAAAATAGGTGTTAATAAAATTTAGTAGCAAGTTAAGCAAGAAATAGAAAAGGTAGCAAATGTGAAACTGGTAAAATTTGTAAGGAAAAAAAAAGCAGAGAAATAAAAAAATCATCTTGGTTGAATGAGGAATGTAAGAAAAAGTTGTTAAGTAGTCCGGTGAGACAAGCTAGAACATGTACAGAAACAAAGAGAGGAAAGAGATATTGAAATGTTGTAAAAAAGAAAAATATGAATACAAAAGAATTTGTGAAAGTAAGAAAGAAAAGTAAAAGATGATGGAGAGAGAGCAAGAATTGAGCAGTTATAAAGATGAAGCAAGATTTGGGAAATATATAAAAGAAGGGATTAACTAAGATAGAAGAATGAGAAGAGTTCTTTATAAGAAAATTGAATGTGTAACAGATAAAGAGAGGAAATAAAGAAAGAAATAACAGGAGGAGGGTCTTTAAAAGGTGTAGAAATAAGTGGGGAAAGATGGATTAAATAAATTATATGACATGGGATTAATGAATTGAAGAGAGGAAAGTCTGCTGGGATTAATGGACTGCATAATAATGTTTCGATGTATGCTCAAGATTGTTTGTTAGGAGAATTAAGAATTGTATTTAATAATATATGGAAAGCGATTCCCCTTAGATTGTAAAAAAAAGGCAGTAATAGTACCAATGTTTAAATCTATGGATTAAGATGAAGTAGGAAATTAAGACAAATATCTTATATTGTATTTAGTGATTTTGGAACGTGGGCAAATTTGCATTGGCAATTACTATTTGAGAAGTTGGGAAAAATGAAGGTTGGAAGAAGAATGCTTCAGACACTGTGAGAAATATACAAAGAAACAGAAACAACACTAAGAGTATAAGGAAAATATACACAATGTTTTTATACAATTGTGGGGGTGAGGCAAGAATGGGTGTTTTAGTCCTTTGTCACTTAATCTGTACATGACAATATTAGATGACCAGATGAGAAAGAATAGTGAAAGATAAACAAAAAATGTTTTTTATTTATTTATGCAGGTGATATGGTTTTGTTGGCAACAGAAGCAGTAAATTTGAAATAAATTATTAGAATTTTGGTAGGACGATGAAGAAGAAATAGGTTGGAATTTAATACAAGTAAATCAGATATTCAGGGTTTTGAAATAGGAGAAAGGAGGTTAATACAAAAGGGAAATACTGATGCAAGAATAAATAGATAGAAATAGGACAGCAGCTTAAATATTTGTGATATTATTTTCAAATTAGTAACAATAGGAAATTACATCTAAAGTATTTGTCGAAGAGAGGTACAATATCAGTCAAATTGGATTTGGGATAGACGAAAGAAAAAAACTTTGACAATTTACATGGTGGAGGTATGCACTCAACTGAGTTCCCCTCTAATTATTATTATTTGATTCAACTTTTATTTAGCATTTTTCATTTTTGTGAGTGTTACGTTTAAGTTCGTTTTATTTCTTATTTTATTCTATAAATTTCTTATATTATTAGATGAACTAAATTTTCGTTTAATTGAAATGTAAAATAAAGATGTTTTCATTCATTCATAGTTAACTAATAAAAAGATCTTACTGTTACATAAAAATAAGCACCTTTTGTGTATATTAAAGCATATGTTTGTAAGTTCTGCCTGTTTGAACATTTTCAAATTAGTCAAAGCAGTAAATATACGAATCTAAAGAGTGCATGTATCCATCTACAAAAAATTCTTGGTATTACTATTTAACTAAAATTTATGCAACTGCTAAGTATGTGCATTGTGCCACATATTGAAGAACTAGTCAAACAGCAGGACATATTCATTACTTCAGAAAGAGGATACATGCTAAGTGGAAATAACTGATTATTCCTATTTGAAGGGGAGTTAAGTGTACATAATAAAGAGAACAGATTGCATAATTGATTTAATGCTTTTATTGTTTGACTTGTCACTATTGGGTTTTTTTACCTCTCTAGATTGGAACATTATCAGAAAGAACAAATATTTTGTGTTGAGAAATAGCAGGAAAACCTATTAAAGGAAAATAGTTAACACTGTATTTTAACATTCAAACATCTGTTGTTGACCTTTGGTTGATATAATGCTTTAGTAGTTTAAGAAAAATTTTAACCTGAACTAAGAAAATTGTAAGTTAATTTTTTTATAATTATCATTATTTTTGTGTTTTAATGGAAATTCCCGTATGTTCATAGGCTCTGACTTTTAAATGGCGTTTGGTTTTTGCCAATATAGGAGGCCTTACAGTCTCCACACGTGTAAAGATAGACAAGCCAAGAACAATAAGGAAAGGGGAGGAGAACTTTATTTAATAGGGAAGAAATTTTTTATGCGTGATGTGGATTTAAAAACTAATCTTAAACCAAACTTCGTTTTCCTTCGAACACATCGCTTGCTAAATT